AACCAATGCGCGCGCACACACACACACACACACACACACACACACACACACACACACACACACACACACACACAATGATGAACACACACACAATGAACACACACTTTTATTATTACTGAGAGACCCTGTAAACACACACACACACACACATGTAACACACACATTTTCTTTGGGTCCATTAGTACCAATTGAGCATCAACGCCACAGCCTACCTGAGTATTGCTGCTGACCATGTCCATCCCTTTATGAGCACAGTGTCTCCATCTTCTGATGGCTACTTCCAGCAGGATAACGCAGCATGTCATAAAGCTCAATCATCTCAGACTGGTGTCTTGAACATGACGATGAGTTCACTGTACTCAAATGGCCTCCACAGTCACCAGAGCTCAATCCAATAGAGCAGCTTTGGGATGTGGTGGAACGGGAGATTGGCATCATGGATGTGCAGCCGACAAATCTGCAGCAACTGTGTGATGCTATCATGACAATATGGAGCAAAATCTCTAAGGAGTATTTCCAGTAGCTTGATGAATCTCTGACACCAAGGATTAAGACTGTTCTGAAGGGAAAAGGGGTCCAACCTGGTACTAGAGAGGTGTACCTAATAAAGTGGCCGGTTAGTTTATAGTGCATGTGTTTGGACTGTGGAGGAAACCCATGCAAACACGGGGAGAACATGCAAACTCCACACAAACTCCAACTGGCCGGGACTCGAACCAACGACCTTCTTGTTGTGAGGTCACAGTATTAATAATATGTTTTAATATGTTTTATAATTTTAATTCAGTTAAGTTTAGGTTATTTCATAGGTTTTCCTTAAAGTATAAAAATAATACAAAAATTGTGCATATATGATTTAATTTAAAGCCATAAGCACAGAACAGGAGTGTTACATTTGCTGGACGTGGAAAAAATGAAACTACCACAGCTCAGAAAAACAAAACACGTCATCTACTGCTTCTGTTCAGCTTCTCATCCGCTGAAAACACTCTTCAGAAGTGTGTGTGTGTGTGTGTGTGTTTACAGTTTCCCTCTGTTTAATCCACTCTAAGGAATGAGGTGTTCTGTGTGTTTTTCCTCTTCTCTCCAGATGTTTCCTTCGTTTCTTACGTCACCACATTCTCCTCCAATCAGAAAAGCTTGTGGTCTGTTTCCTGTCATGCAGCAGCCAATCGGACGACAGGAAAAAAACTGAAGAAACACTGCAGAGAACAAAGAAAAGAGGAAGAGGAAAACATGGCCGTCTTCAGACAGATGGAGGTTTGGGCTCAGGAGGAGGATCAGGGGTTTGTTTGTTTCTAAAGATTGACACACACACACACACACATACACACGTGCACACACACATGATGAAAGATTACAGACGTCTTTCAATTCTCTTATCATTGCTAATGCATATTAATATAGATGTTATTGCAGACATGCATTCATTTCCTTCTTCTCTAGAAAACAGTTGAGCTTGAAGGTCCAAACAACACTCTACTTCCATTCACTGTATGATTGTGTTAGAATAACATACTGTCAATTATGAAAGTTTAACTAATCTTAATTAATTACAGTAGTCATAATAAGCAAATAATTTACTGTTATAATTTCAGTTTGTGAATACACAACACACGGCCACTTTATTAGGTACACCTGTCCAACTGCTCGTTAGCACAGATGTCTAGTCAGCCAATCACATGGCAGCAGCTCACTGCATGTAGGCCTGTAGACATGGTCAAGAGGATCTGCTGCAATTCAGAGCGAGCATCAGAATGGGGAAGAAAGGGGATTTAAGAGACTCTGAACGTGGCATTGTTGTTGCTGCCAGTGCTATAAAAACAAATATATACTAAATACATAAATTAATTTGTATATACAGTTGAAGTTTAATTATTCGCCCCCCATAGATTATTATTATTTTTGAATATTTCCCAAATGATGTTGAACAGACTCAGGAAATGTTCACAGTATGTCTGATTATATTTGTTCTTCTGGAGAAAGTCTTATTTGTTTTATTTCGGCTAGAATAAAAGCAGTTTAAAATTTTTTATGAACCATTTTAAGGTCAATATTATTAGCCTCTTTAAACTGTATTTTTTCGATAGTCTACAGAACAAACCATCGTCATACAATGACCTGCCTAATTACCCTAACCTGCCTAGTTACTCTTATTACCCTAGTGAAGCCTTTAAATGTCAAGAAGTGTCTTGAAGAATATCTAGTCTAATATTATTTATCTGTTATCATGGCAAAGATAAAATAAATCAGTTATTAGAGATGAGTTATTAAAACGATTATAATTTGAAATGTGTTGAGGAATTCTTCTCTCCGTTAAACAGAAATTGGGGGGAAAATAAACAGAGGGTGAATAATTCTGACTTCAACTGTATATAAAATATAGGTTCCTTATGCAAACATGATGATATTAGGGAGCACATGCATGGAGTTTATTATTGTTTATTTCATTTATTTACTTATTTATGTATTTATTTATTTCAAACTGGTCAGAATTTCTCTTTGATTTATTAATTTATTTTATTATATTGTATTTTATTTTTTATTTATTTATTTCAAACTGTTCAAAGTTTATCTTTTATTTATTTTTTATTTATTTATTTTAAACTGGTCAAAACTTTTCTTAAATTTATTTGTTTATGTAATTTAATTTTTATTTATTTATTTCAAACTGTTCAAACATTTTTTTCACTTATGTATTTATTTATTTATTATTTATTTTAAACTGGTCAACAATTGTCTTTGATTTATTTATTTATTTTATTTATTCATTTATTTTTAATTCATTTATTTCAAACTAGGCAAACTTTTTTTGGTTTATTTATTTATTTAATTTTATTTTTTATTCATTTATTTCAAAATGATCAAAAGTTTTCTTTGATTTATTTATTTATTGATTGATTTAATTATAAATTTATTTCAAACTAGTCAAAACTTTTTATTTATTTATTTATTTGTTTTTTCTTTTTTTTTGCCAGGGATATTTTATGTATTTAGTTTATTATTTTATTTTATTAAACTAATTTATATATA